TCGAAGTACAACTGATGGGACGAGACCATGAAGCTTGCCAACGTCGTATTTTACTTGAACGGAACTGCTGGAAGGTGGTTTGATAATAACGAAGAATCACTCAACTCGTGGAGAAGCTTTGAAGACGCATTCCGCGGTGTGTTCGGACTGCAAGAGGATTCTGCTCGACGCGCCGAGGAAGTTCTGAAGTTAAGAGCACAGAAGGCCGAGGAATCCAGCGAGTCATACATCCAGGAGATTCTTAGTCTCTGCCACCAGGTGAACCCTCGCATGGAAGAAGGTGAGAGAGTTGCTCACATTATAAAGGGAATTTCGGAGGACACATACCAGGTATTGGTGGCGAAAGACATACAGACAGTAGATGAGATCCTGAAGTTTTGCCGTCATCTGACAACCGTCAAGCAGCGCAGGATCGGCCGTACGAAATTCGCCAGGTTGTCAAACGTAATGCCCATTTCGTGTGTTGACGACTCAGACGACTTGGCCGCGTTTATTCGCCGCATCGTTAGAGAAGAGATACAAAAGGTTTTCTCAGCACCTGAAGTGATCAATCCTCTCCGAGAGGTGAACGCCCTGGAACAGACTGTGAGGGAAGAGGTCAGCCGTGCTCTACAACCTACCAGACCACAAGTCAACGTGGTACAACAACAACCACGAACGCCCTATTATAATATCGACCGACCAACCCAACCCAGGAAAACGGAACATTGGAGAACCTACGACGACAAACCTATCTGCTTCCACTGCGGACGACCCGGACATGTCGTCCGTTATTGTAGGGAACGACGGCAGGTCTTCGCTGAAGCCAGGTCAAGGAATGGCGGAGAAGGAAGAAATGTTGGATTTTCGAGTCGACCCCCGAGATATGACGCCGACGACGACTATGTAACGCCCCAAACCTCGACGTACTTCTACCGGAGCTCTTCCCCACATCCAAGCCGCGCAAGGTCGCCAGCCCGAAGACAATCCCAGTCGCCAGCCCGTCGTTTCAGCCGTTCTCCCATGCCTCAGAATGTGAAAAACTAAGTGGAGCGGCTTCTAACGGGGGTGAGGTCGCCATTGAGGAAAATCCTCCAGGGTATATCGCCGCTAAATTAAAATAAAATTTTGTTATGGTCGAAATAAATGGACGCAAAATTAAAGCATTGGTGGATTTAGGAGCCGACTTTTCTGTTATTTCAGACAAATTTCGACGCGAACTAAAGACACCTCTCTTCAAAGAACCAGGTCCCATTCTTAAAGCTGCAAACAAAAATTTAATAGAGACCCTAGGAAAATGTGTCCTGAACATAGAAGTTAATGGTCTGAATATCTCATTTGAATTCGTTGTTATGGTGAAATGCAGCCATGACATCATATTTGGATGGGACTTCTTCAAGGCCACCGAGGCCGTCATTGATTGTGGCAGAAATGAACTCCATCTCGGGGAAACCTCCGTCCTGGAATCTCGAGAGGAGGAAAACCAGAGATTGTTTGCTTCCGACGACTTTGTCATCCCGCCTAAATCAATAAAGAAGATCAGTGTGATAAACGAAGAAATATGTGGTGTTAGAGATGTTTTAGTCTCAACTTCTAAGGACTTATTATTAAGAAAGGAAGTTCTTATACCAAACTCATTGGTTACATTTCGACACGGCCGAGGTAGCATTTGGGTGGCGAATGGAGCGTCTTGGCCGCAACTGATTCCATCAGGAATGAATATGTGCACCATGGAAAGTTATGAGAATGGGAATATCTGCAGTCTTATTGAATCCAGCGATAAGTTACAAGAAACGCAGCTAAAGTCACGTGAATGGTCACAGAAGATAAACCTTACTCTAGATCCAGGGCTGTCTGAAATTCAAAGGTTACAGCTTGTTTCATGCCTTGACGAGTTTATTGGCATATTTGACTTTGGGAGTACTCCTATTAAGCCCACCAGTACTGTGAAGCACAAGATAAACTCAGGCGACCAGTCTCCTATCAAACAGCGGCCCTATAGAGTAGCACCAAGTGAACGACGACTAATTCAAGATGAAGTGAACAAGATGATTGAAAATCACATCGTGAAGCCCTCTGAAAGTCCTTGGTCATCTCCAGTTATTCTAGTTCGAAAGAAAGACGGGACCTGGAGATTCTGCGTAGATTACCGTCGATTAAATAAGATAACAAAAAATATGTTTACCCGCTGCCACGCATTGACGATGTCTTGGACAGTTTAGCCGGCTCTAGTTACTTCTCCACGATGGATCTTCGGTCCGGGTATTGACAGATTGAAGTGGACGAAAAAGACAGGGAGAAAACTACTTTCATCACTCCAGATGGGCTGTATGAATTCCAAGTAATGCCTTTCGGTCTTTGCAACGCTCCAGCAACGTTTGAAAAGATGATAGATAGTGTTCTGGGCAGTCTTAAATGGAACATGTGCCTTTGCTACCTGGACGACATCGTAGTTTACGCACCTACCTTTGAGGAACATCTACGTCGTCTAAAACTTGTATTAAGCTGCATCCAGAAAGCTGGACTAAACTTGAACCACAAAAAGTGTCTTTTTGGATCAAGGAGGATAAAGATTTTGAGACACCTTGTTAACGCCAATGGAATTCATCCAGATCCAGATAAAGTTGAAGCCGTCTCTAAATTTCCGAGGCCAAGGAATATCTCTGAACTGAAGAGCTTTCTTGGATTATGTTCCTATTACCGAAGATTTATTGAGAACTTTGCCGGCAAAGCTATATCTTTGCATGACCTACTGAAGACTGAAAAACAATTTTATTGGGATGCAGCTCAAGAGAAAGCGTTTGAAGTCCTTAAAACAGCTCTAATTTCAGAGCCTGTCTTAGGACACTTTGATGAATCCGCTGATACCCATCTACACACGGATGCAAGCGGACATGGTATTGGAGCTGTTCATCTACAAATACAAGGTGGAAAGGAGCGGCCTATAGCTTATGCATCTAGAAGCTTGACAAAGGCTGAAAATAACTATTCTACAACGGAAAAAGAATGCCTTGCTGTAGTCTGGTCTATTAGCAAATTCCGCCCATATTTGTTTGGTCGACCATTCACGGTTGTCACTGACCATCATTCTCTATGTTGGTTGGTAGGGCAGAAAGATCCTTCTGGCCGTTTGGCAAGATGGGCGCTGAAGTTGCAAGAATTTGACGTGACCGTTATCTACAAGAGCGGACGCAAACATAAGGATGCCGATTGTCTGTCAAGGAGCCCGCTTGAGAACGATCAACCAAGTGCTGTGATGTCACTAACCAACGTCGATTTAGAACAGACTAAAGACCCGGATTTAGCTAAAATAATCGATAATTTAAACTCGGGCTACATTAGAAAGGAATTCAGCATTATCGACGGCATCTTATACAAGAAAAACTATAGCACAACTGGAAGACCCTGGCTTATGATGATCCCTAAGCACTTAAGATCGGAAGTTATGGCAGATTTACATGATGCTCCTACAGCTGGGCATTTGGGTTTCGCCCGGACGTATGACAAAGTCAAAAAACGATTCTATTGGCCTGGTCTTTATAGAACTGTTCGCCAATATGTAAGCCATTGTCGGGAGTGTCAACGAAAGAAGAAATTACCTCGACGTCCGGCTGGACAACTTGTATCCATACCGCCCGTAGAAAAGCCATTCTATAAGGTCGGGGTTGATCTCCTTGGAAGATTTCCAGTTTCTAAAGATGGAAACCGTTGGATCATTGTGTGCACCGATTATATGACAAGGTATGCCATAACGAAAGCGATCCCAGACGGAGGAGCAATCGAAACAGCTAAGTTCCTGGTTGAAGACGTCATCTTGAAGCATGGAGCTCCTAGAGAAATGATAACAGATCGCGGCAGAAATTTCATTTCTCAAGTAATAAAAGAGATCAATGCTCTGTGCGGAATTGTGCACAGATTTACAACGGCCTACCATCCCCAGACCAACGGCCTGACTGAAAGGTTCAACAAAACTCTGGGAGACATGCTGTCCATGTACACAGGTGTTGAGCAGAAGGACTGGGACCAAGTTTTGCCCTATGTAACTTTTGCTTACAACACTGCTAAACAGGAGGCGACCGGCTACACCCCGTTCTTTCTTGTCCACGCCCGCGAGGCCGAGACCTACATCGATGCCGTACTACCCTACCTACCAGATGAGATCTCTAACGACTACGTTGGAGAACTTGTGACCAGAGCTGAGGAAGCGCGTCAACTCTCCCGATCACGCCTTCTACAATCACAGGCGAAAGACCGTAGACTATACGACCAGAAACATACTCCAGTCTATTACCAGAAGGATGATCTTGTGTGGGTTTTTACTCCCATCCGAAAAGTAGGACTATCAGAAAAGCTACTGAAGAGATACTTCGGTCCCTATAAGGTGACCAAGAAGCTTTCAGAAGTTACGTATGAAGTAGAGCCCGTGGACCCCTCTCCCCGATAACGGAAAGCCAAGGATATCGTCCATGTCATTCGGATGAAGCCCTACCTGGACCCTGAAGAACAACATTCTATTCTGCTAGGGAACACCAGCCGTGATAGATTTCCTTCCAGAACAAGGGCTGAGACAAGCTAATCAGCGGGTCGCTGTTTTTTTCTAAGGAGGGAATAATGTCAAGAAGCCCAGAGGCTCCAATTACGAGAGGCCCCATGGGACGTCTGTCAATCATCACTGGACACCGGGTGTGAGGGGTTCTGGGGAATCTGGCCGGCGGGGGGAGCTGACGTCCCTCATTAGGATTAACCTTAACTTGGGGTAAGTTCTACTTTATCCATCTCCCTATAGAAACCCCTTATAATAAATTAATTATCCCCAAACTTGCCCTTGCTTTATTTATCTCCGCGACAATATATGCGGCCTGTGATTTTAAAATGACACTTGAAGTTACACCGCATGAGTTTCTTTTAAACGAAAAATCAAAATTTTATTTCAAGGTGAAATATCGACTATTTCTATCCTTTTTGGATGAGGTATGAAAGGGTGAATTATGAAGAGTAATGACGAACGGAAAAATAAAAGTGTCCAGGGATGGGAATCGAACCCACAGTGTTCCGCTTACTGGGCAGATGCCATGTCCACTAAGCTACCCTGGACGTCTTTTTTCCGTTCGTAAATGATACATAAAGTATTTTTAAGTTACTTTATTTATCATTTACGAACGGAAAAAAGACGTCCAGGGTAGCCTAGTGGACACGGCATCTGCCCTGTAAGCGGAACACTGTGGGTTCGATTCCCATCCCTGGACACTTTTATTTTTCCGTTCGTCATTACTCTTCATAATTCCCCCTTTCATACCTCATCCAAAAAGGATAGAAATAGTCGATATTTCACCTTGAAATAAAATTTTGATTTTTCGTTTAAAAGAAACTGATGCGGTGTAACTTCAAGTGTCGTTTTACCAAATTTCTTAACCATAAGTAAGAACTAGCCTGATGATTGTTTTATATGAAATTATTCTTTTTTTAGTATTTATTCCCCACATGTTTCTACTAAGTGAAAAAAGAAAATGTTTCATTCTTATGGTCCTGCACAAAATGTCATTGATATGTGGAGTAAAATTGATCATATTTTTTATTATAGATTTGAGAATTATATGCCTAATATTTCAACTTGATTTACTGGGTTTGAATAATATTCGGTATTTAAATTGGAACTTTAGGTTAATTATGTAAGTAAGGTAAATTCGTTTTTTTCTGGGCTTATTGATAATTTATTCCTATTACACCATTGAATCACATAGCATAGAATATATTCGCTTAATATTTTGAGATCCTCGACAGACTTGTTCCAGTAAATGACAGAAACGTCTTCTGCATAATAAATTATTTCTGTATTTGGATGATCAAAACTCTTCAGCAACTGTCCTTTAACAATATATTCCATAATATTTGGGGTAAAGGACCGCCTTGAGGGCATCCTTTTGTCAGTTTTTTTTTTGTAAAATGAATATCTTAACATGAGAAGTTTGACCTTCTTCCACTGCTTAAAAATATTTTATATTACCCTTTACCAGAAAAAACTGCAAAAAGTCAATTAATATTTTAATTTTTCTCACATATTTCAGTTTTCTGATTCAATATCATTAATAGCAATCTATATACTCAAATTAATTTTTATTCTCCAAATATTAGTTGTCATATTTATTTTCAATTACGTGGCCAAGGGCCTATCCGGACTCAGGGCGCCTTGTAACTCTTGATATAGTCTAGACATCCCTCGGGGAAGGCCTCGAGTCTGTTTTCAATATATGTGTGTATGTGTATATATATGTATAGATGGGAATATATATGTATACATATGAAAAAATGATAGAAAAATTAAAAATATGCATATTTGTGTATATATATTTATTTTATTTAATTTATAATGCTTATAGCTGTAATTTTGTTGTAACTTTGTTTTAATGTTGACTGAAAGTCAATAAGTATGTTTCAATCAATCTCTTTCTCTCTTGGCCGTGCGGCCACGCGGCGCGCGAGCTCCGCGTTTCCTGCGGCTGGGATGGAGCCCATGGAGATCACTAACCCCTTTGGGATATTGGCTGAAAGCCATGAGAATGGGCTGCTATTTAGCTGATTGCTCGGAACAGGACGACCAGCTTACCGAGAGCGAAGATATAATTTTCATCACAGTGGGAGGCTCAAGGAAGAGGCCACATGACCCTGACCACGCCAATTCGGGGACGGAAAAGGGTTGCGCCCAGGCACCGAAAATCCCTCGAAACAGCAGCAGACAACGAGCCATGCAAAGGCCCAGCAAAGTGCACGAGTGCCAGACCACCAGGCAGAAACGGGCAACCTTCCGAGCCAGGCCGATAGCGGGTCAGGCGGACCAATGTTCTACCTGGAGTTCTGCCCAGACTTCACCTAGGAGCAGTACTTCCGGGCATTGGAAGCTAAGCTGGGCAAGGGCACCGTTTACCAGCTGGTGAAGATGGGGGGACACTTCTTGGTTGGCCTCTCTAGCGTGCAACTCTCCGACAAGCTGAGAGAGTAAAGCTTCGACATCGAGGCGCCACCCTGTGGGCCTTCCCTCTAAGAAAAAGGGCCGACCGTATAGTGCTCGGCAATGTGCTATTCTTCGTAGAGGACGCTGACCTCGTCGCTGCTCTACGGCCTTACGGACAGGTCACGTCCACCATCCAGAAGATGAAGCAGCTCTGGAACTTCTGCTGGGCCGATGCTCGTCGGGAAGTCTTCATTACTCTGAGAGACGGGGTGAAGCTCTCCCAGATACCTGCCCGACTGGATGTGAAGTACGAGGGAGTGATCACACACGTTTATGTGACCTACAGCATCAAGTATTCCCTGTGCCATAAGCAGGGACACAAATGTGCAAATTGTCTCCAGACTTGTCTCCAGGAGGACAAGCTGGTGCTCCCTGTGAATGTTCTTGCTGCACGCACACAAGGCTGGACCAAGCCGCCCTCCACCTCGAACACCATGCCGACTACAGCACCTACACCTGCTGACCACAGACCCCAACAGACCCCACCTACTTCTGCTGTGAACACAGCCCCACCTTCATCAAGGGCATCCAATGCTCAGCAGGAGGACCTGACCCCCAAGCCTATCCCTACAACGAGCGCTCTAAAAAATCCGGAGCCAAAAACATCAAATAAAAAGAGCCAGGGCCCGGTATCGAGGCCTCCCTCATCCAAGCCCATGCCCTCCAACAACTCTGCCCTCCCTCCAGCTGCGGAATTGTCTACACCCATCAAGCAGACCCCCTCAACACCCTCCAGCCCTGCCGCGCCTTCCCCCGTGGCGAGCCTCCCTGTCTGTCCCTACGAGACTCCAGCCCCCGAGCTTCCTGTTCCGGCGCCGAGCACCAGCCAGATGCCATCACGACCAGAGCCCTAGATCCGAGTCATGCCAGCATCATCCATCCAGTGTACTACCTCCGAGGCCTCGTTTTCCTTTCGGATCCCTCATCAGTTGGAGCTCGACGAGGAGTTGATGGAGATTTATATCCAACTAGAGGGTTGCTATCTCCTAACCCCCATCCTTGGGGAAGTTTATGAGGATGAAGTGCTGGAGGCGATCCTATACCGCTCTGAGAGAGAGAAACTCCTCAGCATTCTACCCTCGCCAGAAGATAAGGACATTCTGTGTGAATTCCTCGGCATCGCAATTGACCATGTTGGGGAGAAAAACTCATTATAGCCAAGGGCCTATACGGACTCAGGGCGGCTTGTGGCACGTGATTTAGTCTAGACGTCCCTTCGGGGAAGTCTTCGTCTTTTATAAATATATAACTGTATCATATTTGTATCATAATATTTATAACTGTGTTATAATTTTTATTTACTTTGCTGTTGACTAGAGGTCAATAAAGTTGTTATTTGTCTTTTACTCTCTCGGCCGTGCGACCACCTGGCGCGCGAGCTCCGCGTTTTCTAGAGATTGAGATGGAAGCGATGTGGAGATCTACAATGCATTTTCGGTACTGGCGGAGAGCCAGGATAATGACAAGGAGAGCCTCACCATCGGCAGCACACTCCTGAGAGCCTTCCCTTACAGGAAAAGGGCCGAGAAGATCATTATAGGCAACCTTCCTATCGCCGTAAAAGATGACGACATCGTTGCTGCGGTGAGGCCTTACTGCAAAGTGGCCTCGATGACCTACGAACTAGTAACTTGCGAAGGTTACTCCTGGACCACGGGCAGTAGGGAAGCCTTCATCTTCATGAATGAAGGCCTTAAGATCCACCAGCTTCTGGTGAAACTGTAGATCAAGTCAATAGGTGAAACGACGCCAGCCTACATCTCCATCATGTAGCAAGTGTCACCGCCAAGGACATCGGCGTACCAACTGCCCCAGGGGGGACTCGGGAGAGCGCTCCACTCGACAACTTACCTCCCAGCATGAATCTCTACCTCCCTCCACCCAGACATTGCCCTCGTCAGAACCTGCTGCAACTACACTGGCTGTAGTTAGCTACAATGGCCCTGAGAAGGCAGACCAAAAAAGTTCCTATTCCCGTGAAAACTCCTTCTGCCAAACCAGCGGTGCCAAAGCTCCACCAGCGGCGGCAGAAGTGGCCACATCAAGAAAAGTGAGCCAGCCCAACAAAGTCGCTCCTATCTTGACCATAGCTCCTGAATCCCGGGTTCCATTGAAAACCAATCCCCTAAGTAAGGAGGATGAATCATCATCTGGAACAAGATATAAAGCCCTCCAATAATTGGATGAGGTACTTGAACAGCTTCCCGACACCGTATTCGAGAATACCGAGGCAGCGGGTATGGAGAGGAAAAAATAGTGCAGGCAATCATCTCCGAACGCGGCATGAGGAAATTTCTGCCTGACCAGAAACCTGAGCAGCTGGGCATCCTGATCAATCTCATCGGGAGAATCGTCGACCATGTAGAGGACAAAGCTTGCACCCTCTACAAGCGACTCACCCATTTCCGGTCGGCAGCAAAAATTAAGACCACGCAATGAGCTTCCGCATTGTGTGCCTCAATGTGCGTGTCATTGCCGTTCGCGCTAGGAGTGTGGAAATGTGCTGCTTTCTTAGGTAGCATGCAGTTAATGTCACTTTTGTCCAATAAACAAACGTGCTGGCTCTAAACAACATCCGGGACTGATGCCTCGGCTACAGCGTCGTCTTCGCACCATCATCGACACCCAGGGGATCCGGCCTCGCCGTCGTCGTAGCGCTGGGAATCACCGTCCTCTGACATCGCGTTCTGTGGCCAGGCAAGATCGCCATCGCTAACATCAACGTCCGGGGCCTCGAGACTCGCATCATCAACTGCCACCTGTCACACACTCCTGAAGAACGGAATCTTCAACTGCAGGTGATCGCAAAGGCAGCCATCAGAGAAGATGCGTGGGACCTCGGCGACTTTAACATCTCCGAAGAGTCCTCGAGCAACATCGGGTCTGGAGCCATGGAAGCCTTCGCGGAACTCCTGGACCGAACCGTCCTCGTCGACACTGCTTCTATCTTCAATGCCGCGCACATGCCTACGAGGGTTGCCAGTTACGGAAGCCGGGTAGACGCCGCCCGTCTGGATCGAGTTCTAATACCATCAACTCTCCGGACGCGTCACCCGTTACTGGACCCTCAAATACCGCTGTTCGG